CTACTAAGTCAGATCTGCACGGCCCCCCCCCCCACTAGCTAGCAATCCAAAGCCGCCCAGTGGCACCTTTAAGACCAAGTTTTATTCAGGCACCAGCTCTCCCTCCTCCGTGAGGGCAGATCTGCACGTTCCCCCCCCCCAATAGCTAGCAAACCAAAACAGTCCAGTGGAGCCTGAGCGGTGGGTGTTGCCTTCTGACACACTTCCGGTGATGTCAGGGGGCGTGGCCTATGCTAATGAGTTATGCTAATGAGCTCCTGCACCTCCTTTTCTACGAAACGACCCCTGGTCGTAAAGATAAAATGGGGAAGGGGATCTCCCTGGATGCCGCTCTCTGCTCCTTGGCAAGGTGGCTGGGAAAAAAGCGTGATGGATCTATTGTTTAGGGGGGTTCTTTAAGTGTATATTTTGTACCGGGAAGTTGGCAGCTTCTAGGAGGAAGAGAAGAGCTGGGTGGGGTGAATTACATGGTCAGGGTGGTCCAAAGGAGGAATCGGCTGCCTCGGGAGGTGGATGAGCTCCCCTTTCCCTGGCAGCTTTCAAGAAGAGGCTGGAGGAATATTTGCCAGAGGTGCTTGAGGCTGGTCCTGCATTGGGCAGGGGGCTGGACTGGATGGTCTATAGGCAGAGGTCATTTCGGGGGGGATCGCGGGGGAACGCAGTTCCCCCGGGTGAGGTACGGGGGGCGGGGCACATGACGAAGCCCCGCCCCTGCTTCCGGCCCTCATTCAGCCAGGAGGAGGCAGGAGAAGAGGGAGGGTAAGTTGCTTCCTCCCTGCCTCTCCCCACCCCTGCCTGCCTGGGGCCAGGGAGGGCCTTCCTTCGCGGGGCTTCCTCGCACTCCCGCCGGACTTGCAGGTCCACCGCCGGGCCCCTCATGGGGCTCGGCAGTGGAGCTGCAAGGCCGGCACCAGCGGCTGGGACCTTTGGGGGCAGGGTGTGTGGCCTTATGACACACTTCCGGTGATGTCAGGGGGTGTGGCATAGGCTAATGAGTTATGCTAATGAGTTCCCCTAGCTCTTTTTCTACGAAATGACCCATGTCTATAGGGACCCTTCCAGCTTTGTGATTCCAGGATTCTATAATCCCTCTGCTCCACTTGTCATGTCCCCCCCCCCATGGAAGTGATGGGATGGATCTCTCAGCCCTCGTGCCAAGACTCGGCCTTATTTCATTTTTCCCTGGAGAAGAACATTATCTTTAAAAAAACCCAAAAAACTACAAAAGTAAAGGTTGAGTTGAGGACTTTGAGATACCGTGTGATGCTGTCAGGTAGCCCGGTCATGGATCCTCCTCCTCTGTTTGCGCTTTACCTTGCTTTGGTTCCCAGCTGCAATTAACTCATCTGGGAAACCTAACGGCTTTTACGCTTTGGCGCTTGCTTTGCTGGCTTTAGCCCGCGCTCACGAATCATGTCAATTGTCTTCGACTAAGGGGGGGGGGATGTTTGATTTACCCAGGGCTTCTTTTGTAGAAAAAGCCCAGCAGGAACTCATTAGCATAATAGCCCACACCCAACAGCAGAAACTCATTCGCATATTAGACCACACCCCCATGCCTTCCCTTGCCTTGCCCGGGCAAACCAGCCCTTGGAGGGGAGGGGAGGCAGTTTAAACTGCCTCCCCTCCCCTCCAAGGGCTGGTTTGCCC